GCCATTTTGTAACCCCCCTCTGCCCAACCTCTGGATACGGCCCTGCCCCTAATGCCACCCAACAAGGTGCTAATTCCCAATTATCAGAAAGTGAAAGGTACTCAAAGACTTGTCAGACACTCATTGATGCTTATCCAGATGACATGAACAACACTTTGTCTACAGAGCTTCAGCAGTTCCATTCATATGTTCTTCATAAGTTTAAAACAAGCAAGAAAACATCTTTCACTCACATGCAACTTTACAACACAATTACAGAAGACAAACTAGAGAGTGTCTTTCCAAATGTTGAAATTGCCTTAAGAATATTTTTAACATTAATGGTCACCAACTGCACAACAGAGAGGTCTTTCTCCCAACTGAAACGTGTAAAAAAACAAATAGATTGACTCGTAGTCAGATTGTCAGAATGAAGGTGTACATGCATGTACGCTCAAAATTGCTTCAAATACCATCTCCTGCAATCTACATTTTAAAAAATTTCTGGGGGAGGACCCCCATACCCCCCGCCTGTTTATCACCACCCTCCTTGAAATCATACATAATTTTTTGTACTGCTGCAACCTGCATTGTATATTTGGTCAGACAGGTCAACAACTAAAATGGACTGGGTCCGTGTGGAAAGGAGGGGGGCACCAAGATTGGTCAGTGCTTAGGGCACCAGTGAGCCTTAATCCGCCCCTGCTTGTCCCTAAACCGACCGACCAGGCTCTTCGACTGTTACACTGTTACTGTTAGCCACGTAGTGTTAAGCGAGATGGGAACTTGTGGCTACCTTGGCCCCTGAAATCTACACACTATGGAGTAAGAATCGACTGTGTCAACCAAAACAACTGTTTGCCATTGCTTGATTATGGATAGTCATGTATGGTGATGAAGATCGTATATGCACTATACACGACATATTATATACACGACTTATGCACACACACAAAAACATCTTGAATATACTAATATATGTTACATGTTTATATTTATCTTGACATATGAACTATAATGCAACGTCTTTGCACGTTAACATTTGGTCTTGTTTGGTCCTATCTGATGAATTCATCTTGTCTTTTACACATTTCAGAGAGTGAAGCGGGCCGGATGGATTATCAAGGAGGTTCGGGATGTGGAGAGCGTGGCTGACCACATGTATAGGATGGCCATCATGTCTATGCTACTTGACTGCAGGCATCACCTAGACAAATCCAAGCAAGTAGGCTGGTGTACCGGTATCGGTGGTGTATATTTTATTCAAACGAATTCTGATTTCCAACTGACATATTCGCCTGGAGTGATTGATTTGACATTGTCACTCTGGCTAATCATTGTTGCAATAGGAGCATTCTAAAAATGCACCATGAAATTTTCAATTTGGTGCATGCAATTTAGAAAGCACAGAAACCACTCTAGCCTTTCACAACCAAACAATATCCAATGGTAGACACGGTTATCTCTTTCAGGCGCAGGGGTGAATTTCTTCTGACAGTCGTATGGGAGTGTTTGCTTCTTGTAACTTTTGTTATTATTGCTTCCCGGCGATACTTGGTGAATGTTCAGCTATTTCAACTTACTGTGGCTATTATGTTTTGTCTATATCTCCGTTGGATACTAACCACCGGATTTTGAGTACTTGGATTGCTAGTGGGTAACTATATCATGTCTAGCTATAATAAGTAACGAATGTCGATTGTGTAACATAACGAAGGGGCATTTGTCGTTAACAGATGTATCAAGCTGTCGCTGGTTCATGACTTGGCCGAAGCCATTGTTGGTGATCTGACACCACATGATAATGTGGAGAAGGCGGAAAAGCATCTACAAGAAATGGTGTGTACCCAAAAATTCAATTCACCATGATTCTCACAGATTAGTACAACTATCAAATATCTGTAGTACACTATTGCTAGCCTTATTTTGTCTGTTACATGCATCAGCTTAGATTTAGCAATAGATGGCAGCACTTAACTGTATACATACCAGAAAGCAAGTATGAGAATGATGGAGATGAGATTCGGCATTCAGTAACCACGGTAATAATGAGTTGTGTTGTGTTTTCAGCGAGCGATGCAGCATGCTTGCAGCTTACTCGACAAAGAACCGAGTGAAGAAATCTATAGTTTATGGGAGGTACGTATAGCCAGATACCACGTGCAATTCTCAACATATCTCCACATGTTATAGTGTAATGTTCCGTGACACGCTGTCATGTGTGAGTCGTTGAGATACACACATAGTGAAGAGAAGAGGGAGGACTACAACTATGGCTATCAGAAGCAGCGCATACTCATATCAGTCGGCTGCCCAAGCCAGTCTTCTTTCTCAATGCACGCTGAACTTTCGAAACATGGTAAAAAAAAAGGTATGAATTCTCAATGGGGGAATTTTAGCAGCGAACTTATACATTTCCTACAGTGGCTTTCAATATTCATGCCCCGGTCACCAGATGGTTAGCTTAACTCAGAGATGGCAATATGCACACGAAATATATTGTGCACGGTTAACGGGCATGCGTAATACACGTACATGACACCCACACACCCGTACATATAACTCCCCCGCTCCACACAGCCTGTCCACCATTTCGCAGGAATATGAGGCACAGGAAACGCCCGAGGCGAGGGTCGTGAAGGATCTGGATAGGTTCGACATGGTCCTGCAGGCGTACGAGTACGAGCGGTTAGAGGATCGGCCCGGAGAGCTCCAGGATTTCTACCGGTCGACACAGGGTAAGAGGATGGTGGCGTGAAAAACACCTGGGGGGGGGCCGTCGTCAGAAACTTTGCAAATATTCATGACTGTCATATGTACGTATACATCAGAAGTAGATAATAGAGGAGTGTGACTTCAATAAACAAGGGAAATTCGTCATTTACTAGCCTTAGAATACCTACGATTTACTACGCGTATCTCAACCAACTTGAGCTCAAATCGTACACAGTACATCGACATCGTCGCAACACTCGGCGAGCTAATCTTTGACCTATTTACAGCTGGTATGCCCCCCACGCACGCACGCCCACCGCAATCAGCAGCAGTTCCAGCTCCAATCTCCCAGCGAGCCACACCGCATCGCCGAGGGCACAAGAGTGTGCAAGAGTCTTTAGTAGCTGCCTATTGTTTCAAGTTAGGCGGGTTATGGATTCGTTTTGCTGTCAACAGAATGGAGAATCGTGTCGAACGTTTTAGTCTGTATCTCTGGATTGCGGGTGTATACGAGGAAACGATTTTGCACGATGCTAGGCGAATGTACTGTGTACGATTTGAGCTCAAGTTGGTTGAGTTACGCGTAGTAAATCGTAGGTATTCTAAAGCTAGTAAATGACGAATTTCCCTTGTTTATTGAAGTCACACTCCTTCCCTATTATCTACTTCTGGTATACATATACGGCTGAAATACGGAATGTCCTAACTATTGCACATCTCTTTAGAAAGTTATGACATCTTAGGCTAACGATGTCATAACGCTTTATGTTTCTGGCAACGGGCTATTGGCAGATGTCACTAGATACGGCAGATGTGTCAATGTTGTTGAGACTTCTCTCAGACTGTGTTGATCAGATATGGAAGATTGCAACATTTCCAGAACACGTGACATCACTATAGTATAGTATCATATATAACACTATACGTACTTGTATCGTTTTAATGAGTCATGTTTTTTCTAATCACGAGCTTTTGACCGTGTGTAGGCGAAACGTTGCTAATGTGAACTCGAGTTCTTCAAATATCGTCTTGCAACATGGTATAGTATATAAGGTTTAAAGTGGCCACTAGATGGCGGAACCATATACACACTGATACCGTCAGGAGTGCATAATGACAAAATTTGTCAATATTCACCCCTGATACCATATATCATATACAGCACTGTTTTCCACATGTGTTTCACTGTTAGTCACATCTTTCTGTCGTGGCGCAGGGTCTTTCAAGCATCCGGACGTCATCGCGTGGATGTCCGAGCTGCATAGGCTCCGGGGAGAGTTCCCAGCGGCGGAAAAGAGCGGTGACTGACGGGGGGTGTCCTTTCACAACAGCTCATCCTCATCTTCTCATGCTTTCTTCAAGTTCCTGATGTGCATCTGTCCCCAGCGGGTCAGGAGGTGCATTCCCAGGGGAGTCCTAATTGAGGATTCTCGAAGAGAGAGAGATGCTCGGTTGCTCATTTTCGCAGCAAGTGAACTGAAGATCGTTCAGTTGATTCTAAACTTTTTATAACCTAGACTCATTCAGCGAGTTATTGTGATAAATTCAATGCATTTCCAGTTGAGGTGAATTTGTATAGAAGGGTGTTATGCTTTACACGAATGCCATTAAATTTTAACGTATAATATTACGTTGTACACACAATGCCAGTTAGCTACGGTATCAAGCCACAGTTTTTCTGCTGAATAGGTTGTAATTATTTCTGTGAAGGCCAGTTTTTCAAAGTCACTCTATTATTTGTTTATTGGTGCATATCTCCTTAGGTAGGCATGTCGGTAGTTCGTAGTATGTATGTAATATAAGAAAAAGATCTATATTACCAGAGAAATGAGCATAGGGAATAATTAGTATTATTGCAATCCAGATACCATGAATAATTAATGGGTTTTGACTGTTTCGGACTATGGAAAACGTTAGAAAATTTAGTGGATTGGATTCCACTGCTAGTATTGTTAAAAAATATCCTAAACTCGTTTAAACTGCCGAACAATGAAACTCGTAGGAAACACTTTAGTCTCCACTGGCTGTATTTTTTTTACCATATACAAATATTTGTGAAGTATAACTGTAACTGTATAAAGGAAATAAAATCTACTTGTGAAATCTACACCAGCTGCTTTTCTTTGGAAACACACATTGGCTTCGAGGCTACAAATGTTTTTCGGGTGCACATGCCTATTTTGATTGTGTTTTGTGTGTGTGTTTGTCTACACTTCTTTTATCCTGCCTGTGCTGCTTTTTTTCTGATAATAAAGATTATCTTTCCCTGCGTGTTTTTCCCACTAATCGTATTTACTTTTCTGGAAAATATGTGTAATAAACAGTCGTCTGAGTGGTCTGTTAGCGTAACTACGGTAATGTATAAACGATATGTATGTTAATGTATGTTGTAACCGCTCCCCCCTTAGTTCACACCATAGAAATATTATAGATAGACCTAGGTTATCTATATTATTTCTCTGGTTCACACAGAGCAGTGACCTAGCGGATACGTGGACTCGTCGAACCCTCGCATCTTCACCACACCCTATCTCAGTCTCTATCACTCGGTAGGGCGTCAAATCAAAGTGCAAAACTTTCCATTGGAGTGCGCTGTCACTCGGAAAGTGTAACACTATTGCAGAAATGCGATCCAGAACATTCACAATTTATTCTACCGGATACGTTCTACGTCGCAGTAGCAGAAGTGCTGCGCACCCAAGCAAGCAAAATACAAATTCTATCGACAAAAACGCCTATATCCAGTAGCTTCGGTTTTTTTTGTCGCGTGAACTCTGGCACGGCTGCAAAGCTCGTGTGGTCGGTCCTTGGGGGAGGGTCAAAACCTTTCCGGTCGTGGCCCTGGTCACCCTTCCCGAACCCTCCCTCCGCGCCTCGTTTTCGCCGGAACTTGCCCCTGGAGCTTGCCCCCAAAACTCGCATCCGACGAGATAACTTCTCCGTGACCGCGGCCGACCCGGGAAGGCGAGGCCGTGATTGGCGGGTTCGCATCCTTCCTTCCCGCTGGCGGCTTCCTCCCGGCGCGCGCGTGCGTGTGTGAGTGCGGGGATCTAACTACGCCGTACTCCGCGACTCTCACTCACTCTTACTCGCAAGCACGCCGCGCACACACGCGCTCATCTGTCGGTGCTCGATCCCTCGTTCAACGCTGCACGGAAAACACACACACACGGGATCTCCGCTCTCACCACGCCACGTTCTACGTGTACCAAGCCTGCACACACCGTTCGTACGCACGCACGACTCCCTCAACGCATCGCAAGTAACGAACGACTCTGCGTCTTCTAACGCACGCACAAGAGCACAAGATCGAACACAGCGAATTCACCGACGAGGGAACGAAGCGAACGCACGCGTACGTCTCCACCGCGCCGTCACACGACAGACGACACAGAAAGAGAGAGAGAGAGAGAACGAGAGCGAGAACGAGAGAGAGAGAGAGAGAGAGAGAGAGAGAGAGAGAGAGAGAGAGAGAGAGAGAGAGAGAAGAGAGAGAGAGAGAGAGA